TGTCCTAGTGGTTCAAGTGAGAGAACCCTGGGTCAGATATCAGAGAGCCATTTGGAGAATGTAGTATGTCAGGTATTGGAATCAACTGAAATATGTAAGATTGGAAACAAACGGTGGCAGATTAGTTATGCAAGATGAAGGTAAATCTTCCATTAGAACTGTTAAATGTCTTAATTATGCATCTACACACTGTTATATCTATATCACTATGTAAAAACAGACTCAGGTAACAGATTCAGAAGGTTATGAGTATAGATAATTCTCAGTAAAAAACAAACAAAAAGTTCATCTGTTTTATAGTTCTTTAAGGAATTCAAAAGAGTTGGTTTTTTAATATGAATCACCTGAATGACTGTTACTCATTTCTGCTTCATGTTTTGCCTCTAAAGCATATGTATGTGCTTTCAATTTACTTTATAAATTTACAGCAATAATACAGTTTAATGGGACCATTGTTTGTGTTGGGGAAAGATTATGCAAGAAAAGAGTAAAACTAAATTTTAATTACCTAGAAGAAGCAGAAGAGATTAAGAAGAGGTGGCAAGAATACCCCAAGAAATATACAAAAAAAAAAGGTCTTAATGACTCAGAATACAATGATGGTGTAGTCAGTCACCTAGAGCCAGACATCCTAGAGTGCAAAGTGGGTCTTAGGAATCATTACTATAAACAAAGCTAGGGGAAGTGATGGAATTCTAGTTGAGGTATTTTTAATCCTAAAAGATGATGCAGTAAAAGGGCTGCACTCAATATCCCAGAAACTTTAGAAAACTCAGCAGTGGCCACAGGACTGGAAAAGGTCAGTTTTCATTCCAATCCCAAAGAAGGGCAATGCCAAAGAAGGTTCAAATCACTACACGGTTGTGCTCATTTCACATGCTAGTAAGGTAATGCTCAAAATCCTTCAAGCTAGGCTTCAGTCATACGTGAACTGAGAACTTCCAGATGTTCAAGCTGGATTTACAAAAGGGGAACCAGAGATCAAATTTTCAGCATCCTTTGGATCATCAAAAAAGCAAGAGAGTTCCAGAAGAACACCTACTTCTGTTTTATTGACAATGCCAAAGCCTTTGACTGTGTAGATCACAATAAACTGTGGAAAATTCTAAAAGAGATGGGAATAGCAGACCACCTGACCTGCCTCTTGAGAAATCTATATGCAGGTCAGGAAGCAACAGTTAGAACTGGACATGGAGCAACAGACTGGTTCCAAATAGGGAAAGATGTATGTCAAGGCTATATATTTTCACCCCGTTTATTTAACTTATATGCAGAGTACATCATGAGAAATGCTGGGCTGGATGAAGCCCAAACGAATCAAGATTGCTGGAAGAAATATCAATAAGCTCAGGTATGCCGATGACACCACTCATTGCAGAAAGCAAAGAAGAACTGAAGAGTCTCTTGATGAAAGTGAAAGAGGAGAGCAAAAAAGTTTCCTGGAAACTCAACATTCAGAAGACTAAGATCATGGCATATGGTCCCATGACTTCATGGCAAATAGATGGGGAAACAATGGAAACAGTGACAGACTTTATTTTTTGGTCCCCAAAATCACTGCAGATGGTGACTGAAGCCATGAAATTAAAAGACACTTGCTCCTTGGAAGTAAAGGTATGATCAACCTAGACAGCATAATAAAAAACAGAGACATTACTTTGACAACAATGGTCCATCTATTCAAAGCTATGATTTTTCCAGTAGCCATGTATGTCTGTGAGTTGGACTATAAAGAAAACTGAGCACCAAAGAATTGATGCTTTTGAACTGTGGTGTTGGAAAAGACTCTTGAGAGTCTCTTGGACAGCAAGGAGATCCAACCAGTTCATCCTAAAGGAAATCAGTCTTGAATATTCCTTGGAAGGACTGATGCTGAAGCTGAAACTCCAATACTCTGGCCATCTGATGCAAAGAACCGACTAATTTGAAAAGACCCTGATGTTGGGAAAGATTGAAGATGGGAGGAGAAGGGAACAACAGAGAACAAGATAGTTGGATGGCATCACCGACTCAAAGGACACAAGTTTGAGTAAACTCCAGGAGTTGGTGATGGACAGGGATGCCTGGTGTGCTGCAGTCCATGGGGTCAAAAAGAGTCAGACACAACTGAGCGGTTGAACTGAACTGAACTGATGTACAAATGTGAGAGTTGCTCCGTAAAGAAGGTTGAGTACCAAAGAACTGATGCTTTCAAAGTGTGGTGTTGAAGAGGACGCTTAGACTACAAGGCTATCAAACCTAGTCAATTCTAAAGGAAACCAGTCCTGAATTTTCACTGGAAGGACTGATGGTGAAGTTGAACCTCCAATACTTTAGCCACCTGATATGAAGTACTGACTCATTACAAGAAACCCTGGGAAAGGGCAGCAAAGCCTAGTGGGCTGCAGTCCATGAGGTTGCAAAGAGTTGAACATGACTTAATGATTGAACAACAACAACAATACATAAACAAATAAAAAACACTTTTGATAAACATAGGTAGCAGCTGATTTTTTTATAGAATTTTTCATCTTTCAGATATCCATGTCAATATATTTCCAGGTAAGACAGCTATTACTAGACTACTTATTAGTAGATAAGAAAAATAATTCCCCTAGAAGTTAAATCAATAAGCAATGGCCTCAGTCAGCCAGTAAGGATAGATTCTTGAATTTTAAAAGCCACTATAAAGTATATTTCCACAAAACCATGTATGCAGTATTATCAACAGTGCCTATCTTTTCTTTGCACCAGCATCAGCTTTCATAAGATTCTGAAAATATATATGAAACAGCAACTTTAAGTATGTGGATCAGTATTTTATACTACTCAGGAGTAGGAGTGCATATATTTTATTTTCTGTAAGAGTAAATAAAGGTCATAAATTGGTATTTGGTCAGTAAGATGTGTCATTTTGATATATATCCACATATGGCATTCGTTAGTCTATTTCATGTTTAGAACATAATTTTATTTTAATGTTTTCAATGAAACATTGTTTTAGTATGTCTTATTGAAACTTTTATTGTTATAGATACTTTTCTGTGAACAAAGGTTAATTAAAGGTGTATGTAATGTGATTATCTGGTTTCTAATACATTTATTTCTGAATCCCTTAAGGCTTCTAATTTCATTTCCTGACATATCATTTTTTCCTCATATATGGATATTTTATTAGATACAGAAAAGTACACCTTTACTACAGCTGTTGTTTTCTCATTGGGGATGTTGGGCTAATGTCATGGAGTACTTGATAGTTTTTGTGCTTCTGAGTGAATAAGAGAAGTACTCCATTTCTTAAGAAATCTCATAAATCTGACTCCTTTTAAAGTGAGCTCATCCTATAAATCTCTTCTAGTCCATTGCAATCTTCTACATTGTTCCTTTAGATTGATAACTGTACACTCTCAACATAAGTTAAAAGAAATCACAATGTATACTACAAATGAAGAGTTCTGTTGAAAGATTTATTTCCAAAATTTATATTCATCTCATATTTTTAGATAAAAGGAATGACATGATAAGTGCCATTTCTATCATTACAAGCACACTTGGAGATTTCTTAATAAAGTCAAAGTGACTAAAGGAAATTCTTCATCCTGTGTTGTTTTGCTAGATGGAAAAGGCTTTAAACTCTTCCCTAACATCCTGGTATTTAGGTTATGTAACTGTTAAATGGGCTTCCCTGGTGGCTCAGATGGTAGAGAATCTGCCTTCAGTGTAGGAGATCCAGGTTCTATCCCTGGGTCCAGAAGATCCCCTGGAGAAGGGAATGGCTACCCACTCCAGTATTCTTGCCTGGATAATTCCATGGACAGAGGAGCTTGGTGGGCTATAGTCCTTGGGGTTGCAAAGAGTTAGACATGACTGAGTGACTAACACACACAACTCTTAAATAGATTGTAAAGGATTGTTACAACAATCTCCTATCAAGTAAAGCTTGCCATGAGCTCAAGCTACACTTGAGGCTAGCTGTGACTCAGATGGACCAGAGATCCCAGGAATATGATTTCAGCTCACCTCCTGCAGACACTTACAAAATTACTGTGAAGAAATCACCTATTTTGCCTTTGGATTTATGAATCTGGATTTTCAATTATAAAAACAATTTGAAAGAAATGATTGGGTCAGGAGGACCTGGAAAGCTAATAATTGTTGTTTAAGAAAGACCCAATTGATTATAAGGAAACATGGGTAGTCATTTCTGGGGATTCAAAGGCATTTGCAGTTGCATGTAAGATGTGTAACCTACTCAAAAGTAGGAGAGATTATCACAGATGTCTCACAGAACTTTATGACAACATCTACTTGAAACTATTAAAGGAAGAATTCCCAGAACAAATAACTTAATCTCAGGTAGAGCACTACAGCTTGATTTCCTGACTTTAAAAACAAATAGGACTCAAAGTCCTGAGCCAAATGAGCAGATAAATTATGAAATCAAAACAGATTTTTTCCTTTTTACTACAGTGGAAGGATTTGTCTTATCAAGCTATTTACACTTTTGGTTGCCACTATTTCCATCACTTTAGTCACTGTACCACTGCTTAAAGCAGAAGCTGAAGTCCGGGGAGATGCCAAAGACAAGGACCGCTTTTCAGTGACAAAGAGATGACTTCTCTTGCAGCTCCTTGTGGGCCCCCAACCAGAGCCTGGTGGGCTGTCCTAGAGTCGCAGGGTGACAGTTGAGTCTAATGGGATTTTGAAAGCTTTCTCTTGTTCCATGATTCTGGGTTGCATATTTCTACTCTAAGTATGGACAAGAGGGGATGAATAATAAATACAGCCAATTGCCAGAAACTTTTTATTGCCTCGGTGCAGATCTATTTTTTAGCTGGATGACTTTTATTTTTCCATTTTTTAATTGCTTTGTTTGTATTATCCTTTCTCTCAGGGCAGTTTCTAAGTACCACTTCAGAGAGTCTTTTATGTTCACAACAGTGACAGAACTGCCGAGATTTCAAGCTAAGCATGAAAGCATGGATCTAATATCTTCTCCCTGATTTCCTCCCATCTAATAGGTCTGCTGGCTTATCTTGCTGCTGTGATACCAGGAACAATTCAAATGCTTATTGAGGAAAAACTAGGACTGGCAGAAAAGCAGACAGAAACAATTCCTTGTTAGAACTCTGGTTCGGTAACTCATCAAATTGCACACACATTAGGCAACCAGACAACCTACAATGGTAAAGAGTGCGATTGAGAAAGTGAGAGACTGAGAAAACTGCCCCCTGAACTTACTTGGCCAGCTATGCGATGCGCCCCAGCAGGAAAAAGTATCAATTGGTAATCACAAACACTTAACTTTTTACTCACAGAGACACAGGAATGGATTTGATCATGTCTTGGAGTACTTTGAGGTCTTTGGAATAAAGGCATTCTACAAATATATATATATATATATATATATATATAGCAAATAGGAATCTTCACTGAGACTTGTGGTTTTCTTTCAGTGTAACTTAAGATGTAAGGATTATAATGATATTTATAAGGTTAACCTAAAAATGCAAAATATTTTTAAACCTCTCATCGATGTATTATTGTATTACTGAATGAATGAATGAGGGTACGTGTATGTGTGTGTGTGTGAGTAATTAATCAGAGTCCTTGGATCTCTCACGTTTGGAGTCCTCTATATTACTTACTACATTCTAATAAAAGTATGTTTATAAAACTATTTCAAGTAAATGATGTCTTTTAAATATAGGAATTTATTTTTTAAGACCAACACTTGACACTGTTGACTGTGAATGTTCAGTTCAGTTTACTTCATTTCAGTCTTTCAGTCGTGTCTAACTCTTTGCGACTCCATGAACTGCAGCACACCAGGCCTTCCTGTCCATCACCAACTCCCGGAGTCCACCCAAACCCATGTCCATTGTGTCAGTGATGCCATCCAACCATCTCATCCTCTGTTGTCCCCTTCTCCTCCTGCCCTCAATCATTCCCAGCATCAGGGCCTTTTCAAATGATTAAGCACTCAGCATCAGGTGGCCAGAGTATTGGACTTTCAGCTTCAACATCAGTCCTTCCAATAAACATCCAGGACTGATCTCCTTTAGGATGGACTGGTTGGATCTCCTTGCAGTCCAAGGGACTCTCAAGAGTCTTCTCCAACACCACTGTTCAAAAGCATCAATTCTTTGGTGCTCAGCTTTCTTTACAGTCCAATTTTCACATCCATACATGACCACTGGAAAAACCATAGC